TCGTACCGGGAAATCATAAAAAGAGAGGAAAAAGAAAGGAAAAAAAAAGAGAGGAAAAAGAGAGGAAAAAGAGGAGAAATCATCGTTTCGTACCGGAAATCGTCGTTTCGTACCGAGAAATCATCGTTTCGTACCGAGACATCATCGTTTCGTACCGAGAAATCATCGTTTCGTACCGGGAAATCAAAAAAAGAGAAGAAAAAGAAAGGAAAAAAAGAGAGGAAAAAGAGAGGAAAAAGAAAAAAAAAGAGAGGAAAAAGAGAGGAAAAAGATAGGAAAAAGAGAGGAAAAAGAAAGAGAGGAAAAAGAGAGGAAAAAGAAAGGAAAAAAAGAGAGGAAAAAGAGGAGAAATTATCGTTTCGTACCGGAAATCGTCGTTTCGTACCGAGAAATCATCGTTTCGTGCCGAGACATCATCGTTTCGTGCCGAGAAATCATCGTTTCGTACCGGGAAATCAAAAAAAGAGAGGAAAAAGAGGAGAAATCATCGTTTCGTACCGGAAATCGTCGTTTCGTACTGAGAAATCATCGTTTCGTACCGAGAAATCACCGTTTCGTATCGGGAAATCATCGTTTCGTACCAGGAAATCAAAAAAAGAGAGGAAAAAGAAAGGAAACAAAGGAGAGGAAAAAGAAAGGAAAAAAAGAGGAAAAAGAGGAGAAATCATCGTTTCGTACCGAGAAATCGTCGTTTCGTACCGAGAAATCATCGTTTCGTACCGGGAAATCAAAAAAAGAGAGGGAAAAAAAGAGAGGAAAAAGAGAGGAAAAGGAGGAGAAATCATCGTTTCGTACCGGAAATCGTCGTTTCGTTCCGAGAAATCATCGTTTTGTACCGAGAAATCATCGTTTCGTACCGGGAAATCAAAAAGAGAGAGGAAAAAGAAAGGAAAAAAAGAGAGGAAAAAGAGAGGAAAAAGAGGAGAAATCATCGTTTCGTACCGGGAAATCAAAAAAAGAGAGGAAAAAGAATGGAAAAAAAAGAGAGGAAAAAGAGAGGAAAAAGAGGAGAAATCATCGTTTCGTACCGGAAATCGTCGTTTCCTACCGAGAAATCATCGTTTCGTACTGAGAAATCATCGTTTCGTACCGGGAAATCATAAAAAGAGAGGAAAAAGAAAGGAAAAAAAGAGGAAAAAGAGGAGAAATCATCGTTTCGTACCGGAAATCGTCGTTTCGTACCGAGAAATCATCGTTTCGTACCGGGAAATCCAAAAAAGAGAGGAAAAAGAAAGGAAAAAAAGAGAGGAAAAAAAGAGAGGAAAAAGAGGAGAAATCATCGTTTCGTGCCGGAAATCGTCGTTTCGTACCGAGAAATCATCGTTTCGTACCGGGAAATTCAATCGTTTCGTTAACCGGGGCATCAAAAAAAAGGAGAGGAAAAAGAAAGGAAAAAAAAGGAGAGGAAAAGAGGAGAAAAATCATTCGTTCGACCCGGAAATCAAAAAAAAAAAGAGAGGGGAAAAGAGGGAGAAATCATCGTTTCGTACCGGGAAATCATCGTTTCGTACCGGGAAATCAAAAAAAGAGAGGAAAAAGAAAGGAAAAAAAAGAGAGGAAAAAGAAAGGAAAAAGAGAGGAAAAAGAGGAGAAATCATCGTTTCGTACCGGAAATCGTCGTTTCGTACCGAGAAATCATCGTTTCGTACCGAGAAATCATCGTTTCGTACCGGGAAATCAAAAAAAAGAGAGGAAAAAGAGAGGGAAAAAAAGAGAGGAAGGAAAAAGAGAGGAAAAAGAGGAGAAATCATCGTTTCGTACCGGAAATCATCGTTTCGTACCGAGAAATCATCGTTTCGTGCCGAGAAATCATCGTTTCGTACCGGGAAATCAAAAAAAGAGAGGAAAAAAGAGGAGAAATCATCGTTTCGTGCCGGAAATCGTCGTTTCGTACTGAGAAATCATCGCTTCGTGCCGAGACATCATCGTTTCGTGCCGAGAAATCATCGTTTCGTGCCGGGAAATCCAAAAAAGAGAGGAAAAAAAAAAAAGAGGAAAAAGAGAGGAAAAGGAGGAGAAATCATCGTTTCGTACCGGGAGAGAGGAAAAAGAGAGGAAAAAGAGAGGAAAAAGAGGAGAAATCATCGTTTCGTACCGGAAATCGTCGTTTCCTACCGAGAAATCATCGTTTCGTACCGGGAAATCAGAAAAAGAGAGGAAAAAGAAAGGAAAAAAAAAGAGAGGAAAAAGAGGAGAAATCATCGTTTCGTACCGGAAATCGTCGTTTCGTACCGAGAAATCATCGTTTCGTGCCGGGAAATCAAAAAAAGAGAGGGAAAAAAAGAGAGGAAAAAGAGAGGAAAAGGAGGAGAAATCATCGTTTCGTACCGGAAATCGTCGTTTCGTGCCGAGAAATCATCGTTTCGTGCCGAGAAATCATCGTTTCGTACCGGGAAATCAAAAAAAAGAGAGGAAAAAGAAAGGAAAAAAAAGAGAGGAAAAAGAAGAGAAATCATCGTTTCGTACCGGAAATCGTCGTTTCGTGCTGAGAAATCATCGTTTCGTGCCGAGACATCATCGTTTCGTGCCGGGAAATCAAAAAAAGACACGAAAAAGAAAGGAAAAAAAGAGAGGAAAAAGAGGAGAAATCATCGTTTCGTACCGGGAAATCAAAAAAAGAGAGGAAAAAAAGAGAGGCAAAAGAGAGGAAAAAGAGGAGAAATCATCGTTTCGTACCGGAAATCGTCGTTTCGTACCGACAAATCATCGTTTCGTACCGAGAAATCATCGTTTCGTGCCGGGAAATCATAAAAAGAGAGGAAAAAGAAAGGAAAAAAAAGAGAGGAAAAAGAGAGGAAATCATCGTTTCGTACTGGAAATCGTCGTTTCGTGCCGAGAAATCATCGTTTCGTGCCGAGACATCATCGTTTCGTGCCGGGAAATCAAAAAAAGAGAGGGAAAAAAAGAGAAGAAAAAGAGAGGAAAAGGAGGAGAAATCATCGTTTCGTGCCGAGAAATCATCGTTTCGTGCCGGGAAATCAAAAAAAAGAGAGGAAAAAGAAAGAAAAAAGAGAAAAAAAGAGAGGAAAAAGAGGAGAAATCATCGTTTCGTACCGGGAAATCAAAAAAAGAGAGGAAAAAGAGAGGAAAAAAAAGAGAAAAAAGAGAGGAAACAGAGAGGAAAAAGAGGAGACATCATCGTTTCGTACCGGAAATCGTCGTTTCGTACCGAGAAATCATCGTTTCGTGCCGGGAAATCATAAAAAGAGAGGAAAAAGAAAGGAAAAAAAAGAGAGAAAAAAAGAGAGGAAAAAGAGGAGAAATCATCGTTTCGTACCGGGAAATCAAAAAAAGAGAGGAAAAAGAGATGAAAAAAAAGAGAGGAAAAAGAGAGGAAAGAGAGGAGAAATCATCGTTTCGTACCGGAAATCGTCGTTTCGTACCGAGAAATCATCGTTTCGTACCGAGAAATCATCGTTTCGTACCGGGAAATCAAAAAAAGAGAGGAAAAAGAAAGGAAAAACAGAGAGGAAAAAGAGGAGAAATCATCGTTTCGTACCGGGAAATCAAAAAAAGAGACGAAAAAGAGAGAGGAAAAAGAGGAGAAATCATCGTTTCGTGCCGGAAATCGTCGTTTCGTGCCGAGAAATCATCGTTTCGTGCCGAGAAATCATCGTTTCGTACCGGGAAATCATAAAAAGAGAGGAAAAAGAAAGGAAAAAAAAAGAGAGGAAAAAGAGAGGAAAAAGAGGAGAAATCATCGTTTCGTACCGGAAATCGTCGTTTCGTACCGAGAAATCATCGTTTCGTGCCGAGAAATCATCGTATCTAGAAGCTAGGTCCTCTCTGGGAACTGTCTAGTAAATCTCTACGCAGTTTAAGACTTAATCGTGGTTACCATGTCTAATTCTTATCGTGGTTACTATGACTAGTGCTTAACGCGGTTACTACGTAGTCTCATACATACATACATACATACATACATACATACAGACACACATACATACATACATACATACATACATGCATACATACACATGCATGCATGCATGCATGCATGCATGCATCACATACATACATACATACATACATACATACATACATACATACAGACACACATACATACATACATACATGCATACATACATACATACATACAGACACACATACATACATACATACATACATGCATGCATGCATACATACATACATGAAGAAATCCATTTGCCGGGCTGCCGTAGACGTCTCATAGTCTCTGAGCAGATATTTTTCAAACTTTACCGGTATGTCAGGCCAATTGGAAGGTTTTTTTGGAGTTTGGTATTCAGACTATTTCAGTATGGACCATGTTCAACTTGTGCAACTCAAATTGGGATGCTGAGGCCAACATCTTGGCACAAACGGCTGGCGTTCCATCCATTCCGTGGAGTGGAGAAGGTCTTGAAGCCAATTTGGGCCCTGATGGTACCATTCCAGAGGAGAGATTATGAGCGATTCATTGTTTCATCATGTCTCATCATGTTTCATGATGTTTAATACTGTTCATGCAATGCATTTTATTGCTTCAACCCACATCGTAGATAGGCATGTCCTCCACAGATTTGCTTGCACAGTTTTGCAGAACATGTTTTGCAGAACATGTGCGATCATCTTAGCAACTGATCAGTTTCTCTTTTGATGGTTCTGCTCCGCTATAGCTGCATATGTATCATATGTTGCAAGACTTAAATTCGTAGGTAGGGGCTCCGAAGGGATTGATTTCGGGAGTAACCTGTCGTTTCTTCACTCGATTTGCAGTTGGCAGCCATTGGTAGTTTGCAGTGCAGGACATTTTTCGGAAAGGCACAGTGAGTACGGTGGAGCAGGCCAAGGAAGCAATCAAAAGCATTGGATTCCCCGTGATGATCAAAGCCTCCGAAGGCGCATGGAAATTTCAATCAGTTTGGTGTTGTATTTATATACGCGTAAATTACTGTACATCATTGCTTGTATTCAAAGGCAAGCGTCCGATTCCATTCGGGTAGGAAAATGAGAACGTGTCGGCCTGGATACCGAGGTGGAGGAGGAAAAGGGATCAGAATGGTGCAGGAGGAGAAAGACTTGGAGAGCAGCTGCTTGCTAAAGTAACTGAAAGTAGCTGACTATCCAACAACATCGAACAACGATATTGCAGAATAGTGCAGAATACAGTAAAATATTGGACGCGGTTTCATTTTTCCGAAGAAAGATTAGGTCTTGAGTCTTGGCCTGGAATTTTTGATGCCGAGGCTTCATCCAGGTGCAGAATGAAGTTCCAGGATCTCCTATCTTCATGATGCAGCTTTGCCAGGGTGCTCGGCACATTGAGGTGCAGATCGTCGGAGATGAGCATGGAAATGCTGTGGCATTGAGTCTTGGGCATTTGATTAGGATGATATTAGGATGGTTGGAGGTCTCCCTCAAGCTAGTTGGTTGATGTTACGATGTTGATGTCTACATGTGTCCACAGTGCCTGCAGCCATTTCCCAAGGAATGGTAGAGATTGCTCTACCCAGCGACGCTTCCAAAAGATATTTGAGGAAGGACCTCCGGTAGTGGTGCCAAAGGACACTTTCCTGGAGATGGAACGTGCTGCCCAGCGCCTCACACAGAACATTGGCTACATCGGGGCAGGAGACTTGTCATCCAAGGCTGTTCCTGCACAGCGATTGCAATCTTCAGAAACTGTTGCCAGATGTTGCCCAAACTTGCTTAATATGTTACAAGGACTTCTCAGAGGGCTTAAAAAATCTTCGAACATCTTAAAGATCTTGACAGTGCTTCCTTGTTCTGCTTAGGAACAGTGGAGTACCTGTACAATGCAAACGAGAACAAGTTCTACTTTCTCGAGTTGAATCCAAGATTGCAGGTGGAACATCCGGTCACAGAGGAGCTCACCAGGGTGAATTTGCCTGCTACACAGGTGCTGGTCTGTTGCGGTGTCCCATTGGAGAACATTGCGCAGATCAGGCGTTTCTACGGTAAGAGCGACTCTGACACCACCTCTCCGATCAACTTCTTGGAGGACAGGTATGTATATCCAGATCGCCATGTGATTGCCTCGCGCATTACTGCAGAGAACCCAGATGATGGTTTTAAGCCCACAAGTGGCAAGATTCTTGGCTTAGTGTCTATGTGCAGGTGCATTTCTAGTATTATTAGAATTTTGAGAGGCTCTTATCCCGCAATACTTTCATCAAAGCATCAGCTTAAACGCGAGTATAAAGCCGAATGACTGCAGCTGAGGATCGAACGAATTAAGTTTCAAAGTTCGGTTGCGTGCTGGGGCTACTTCAGCATCGGTGCCAAGGGAGGCATTCACGAGTATGCAGACTCTCAGTTTGGCCACATTTTCGCTCATGGGAACAATCGCGAAGAAGCACGAAAAGCTCTCATGCTGTCATTGAAAAACATTGAAGTTGTTGGCGAGATTCGCAACCCTGTCGAGTGTTTGAGCTGAATTGGCTTGCATCATCTTGCATCCTTCCTTGTAAGTTGATTCCTGACTGTGCGTATGTTTCTGGATGCTGGTGGACCACGGCATACCAAGGTATTTGGTAGAGCTTCTCCAGCAAGAGGCAATTGTACACACCTTTTGCCCCCTTTGTCATTTGTGACATTTTAATGTGACATTTTGTGACATTCATTTGTCATCTGTTTGTGCAACAGTTTGCCTATGAACTGCATGCATTGCATTAGGCCTTTGAATTGCTCCTTTTGCGCATGCACAGCCTCGCGCAATCTCGCATATATCAGAGCACAGGTTTGCTGACCAAGTGCAGGCTTTCATCAACAACTCTATTGACACCTCTTGGCTTGATGGGCTTATCAAAGAGAAGTCCGTCACATTGAGATACAACATCAATGATGTCCCTTGCTTGTGAATTTGAGAGTTCCTTTCGTTTAGTTTGAACTCTCTCCGCCTCAATACTTTGTGAATTGGACACTGGAATGTGGAATGCAGGACAGGTAGAAAGCACTGGAATTGAGTTTTTGCCCGCCAGGTGCCCTCCCTTGTTTGAACACATCCTGACAATTGGCCGGCCCTTGTTGTCAGGTCGTTTTCTATGCGGCTGTTTTCCGTGCAGTTCAGAGCTTGAAGGCTGCTGATGAGGAAGTGGAGTCAGCTCTCGCGAAGAGTCAATTGGGGCCTTTGAGGGACATGGCTTCTTGACGCAAGTGCCGCCAGTGGGCACTTCTTTATTTCAATTGAAAGACTGGAGTGGTTGGACCTATGCCATTCAATACCATTCCCTAGGCCGTGCTTGTTCGTAGTTTTGGTTGTTTTGCTACTGTTGCTTTCCATTGTAACTGCGTTACTTAACAGACTTCACCGACCAGGACAGAGTCTAGCTACTTGAATCTCCATGGTTATATTGGTCATTATATATATATATATTGCATTATATTGCCAGGTTTTAGGAGGCTGTGTCCTCGGACGCGTTTCAAGCTGTTCCCTGAGTTTCCTTGCGGCTCTTAGGCCAAAATGAACAGGTTTCCAGTTGAGATCACTTTCGAGGGCGTGAAGTACACTTTCCAGATTTCTCGCTTGGGACCGTCCTTGCTCGAGCTGGCTATAGCAGACAAGAAGTGTCTTGGCATATTTCAGGAGCGAAGAGCTAGCGCATTTGATCCTACGCTGCCTACGCTCAATCTAAGGGATCCTTTATTCAGCTCTGCTTTGTTTGCTGCCCGTGACAGTCCTTTTTGCCTCCAGGTACATTTGATGGTCTTTCATGTAGAAACAACAACACTGTTACGGGTGCTACAACTTCCTCGCTTTATGGCAAAGCAGGACATCGATGCTACCTTGGAAGCCCATGAAAAAGAGCAAACTATATCATTTGAGAAACCACGGTATACATCGGTATACAGTATATAACATGAAAAGCCTGCTATCAGTTTGACCTTTGGGCAATGGCTTGTAGGCCTCCTGTATGGTCCCATATCATGCGAATCACGCGTCTGTCTCTACTAAATCGAAGCTGCTCGTGAGCGACCGGGTTGTGGCGTACGTCTGACACTCGGGACACCAAGCCCAAATGTTTTCGCGTTCGGAAAAAGAGTGTAGGACCGGAACTGTAGGAGAGCTTTTTTGCTGACCAGTCCATGGGACACTGTCGAAACGCTGATTGTAAATCATTCTCTTGATAACTGCAGTAAACGTCAGTAGCACCCCAGCCTTTGCTCAACTTGTTTTGGCTGCCAACCAAGCCCGCGCTTGAAGACTTTATTTTTTCCGAACCCGTTCGACGAAGAGCACCACCAAGATAAAGTGCAAATGAAATGACGATTTCGAAGGACATATCATGTAAAACAGGAGCGAGCAGAATCTCAGGCCAGAGACTGCAGAGATTTTTTTCAAAAGGCGTTGAGCATAATCACAAAGGTAACATGTGCCACATGATAATTATATACTGTAAATTTAGCTTTTTGGTGGGCAGTACCCAGTTGCGTTAGTTGTGGATTTTCTTAGCCGATTTTCCTAGGCATCTTCTTTGTCATAATGCTATGTGTTGTTGTACATTGGAACAAGTAAAGTCATCGAACTTTAATGAACCGCTTGCTTATTTGAGCTGAGTGGTGTGCCATTGCACTGAGCATTGCAAGCATTGCGAGCATTGCAAGCATTGCAAGCATTGCAAGCATTGGAGTCTGGAGATTTTCGGAGGTACTTGGCACAGATCATGGCTCAGCCCGATGGCACGTTCTTGGTCTCGGTGGGTGCCACCGTGATGAGCGTCATGGGCTCCGACGAAGCTCTGGGTTTGCGATTGCGCTTGGACGGCATTGGCACCATCATGTTGCCCACCGTCTACGATCCCTCAGAGCTTCGCTCTGAATTCAATGGCAAGGCCCGGAGAATGGTTGGAACAGTTGATATCCGTGCAATGCTGTGTGTTTAGATCGATGGCTGCATGATGGTTGCATTGGCGTGAAGCTTCTGATATCAGGCTTGGGCTTCACTAGGTTTGATGAGGTTTGTAGATCTTTTGTTGGAAGCAGCTTGAAGCCGTGGATCAGGTGGTCAGATATTTGCAAGACAACGGGTCTATGGTGAAGGAAGGAGAGCCGTATGTCGAGCTGGAGGCGTGGACATGTTAGTTTTGCATAGCTTTGCCATGTTTTGCTTAGCCGTTAAAGGCTATGCCGCTCTGCCCGAACACAAGGACCTACATACTGCACATGCATACACAGAAACTGACACAGACATCGTGACAGAGGCACTTAAAGTGCACTTCCCCTGGATTCAATATCTGCTTGGAGACTTGCATGTTCTGATGTTGCATTGCTTCAGTTGTCTCAGATTCGCCAACGTCTAAAGTGGGAACTGTTACAGGCAATGAAGATGATCATGCCTATCAAGGCGTGCAGAATTGCAATGAATTGCCCACACAGAATTCCTTCAATCAAGCATTCCCAGTCACTGGTGCCAAGCTGGGGCGTCCTGGTCTGGGCAAAAGCCTGAACAGTGTGCGAAATTGTTCCGTGGGTGCTGAGCAAGCATGGGGTTGTGCATTGTGTTTGATGTTCTATGAAAATGGAACCTTCGTATGTCATTTGTTTGTTGTCAATGCATAAAAGCACTGCAAGCAGAGACATCAGCATAACAATTCCACCATGGACCTTGATCTTTGGTATTGAAGGCCACCTTGAAGGTCTCGAAGATTCTCGAAGCCCTTTCGTCTTTTTCCGTCTTTTTTGCTTTGGGATTCTTTATGACTGTGCCAGGCCACTGCTACGGGAAAAGTGTCCCACTTGCGCGGTGCTGGGAGCATCGTATCAGCAGGGGAGCTATTGGGAACTCTGGACTTGAAGGACCCGAGCCAGGCGGGACTATTTGTTTGACTGTCTTGACTGTGAAAGTCTGACACTGTAGAAAGATGTGGTGAGTGCGTTCTGGATGTCATGATCTTTGGAAAAGACGGGCCCCAGCTACGAATGAAATATTGCTCTGAACATGGCTCTGCACAAAGCGCTAGGTCAAGAAGATCGTCCCATTCGAAGGTGCCTTTGAAATCTCTACTGGCAGCAGTGACAAGGAGTCCTTCAATGTAGCATTCACACCACTCTTGAGATTGTTTTCATCCTTTGATTCAGAAGAGTCATGCAGATTGGCTTCACATCTCTTGTGCTTTGCATTGCAGGATCGCAACCTGCAGAGCCAAATCGAGATGGTTCTCGATGGCTTTGCGGCTCAGGAGGATGCTGGAATCATGACGCAGAAACTCTTCTCTGAACTACCACAGGCTGGGCAGAGCGGGGCAGAGGCGTAGGGCAGCCTAGAGCAGAGTGTGAGATGCGCTTAGGTCCTGCTTCAATGACTTTCGGATTGTGGACGTATGGACGGATTGACGGACATCCAAATTTCCAAAGTTCTTTTGATTCCTGGCGAAGGCTGAGCGAAGCGAAGTTGCACAAGGCCTTTTCGAGCGATACTTGGCAGTCGAGCAAAAGTTCTCGCCCCTGATCACGAAAAAACTCACGGTCGACCAGATTTATGCAGAGTTCATTGCCGAGAACAAGGAACCTTGGACCAAGTCCAACTAAATTGCAATTGAGTCAAAGCGCAATGAATCTGAGCACGCTGGGAAAGGACGAGTGCTTAGAGGAAAGCTATAGTGGGAACTGTAGCAAAATCTGCAGACGGGAAAGGCAATGACACATAATGAGGATCAATGAGGGTCAATGAGGATCGAGGTCAAACTTGGATCGAACAAATCAATTCGAACATTTCGAACAATTCGAACATTGCCAGCCGTGAGGAGAACCTGTCAGCAGTGGCTTCTTTGGCTCTGGCTCACAGTCAGCTTGCCCCTCGTAGTGACACTCGACGAGAAGTTGAGCTGTTGAGACTGTGGAATAGAGCATTTGTTGCGGCGTCCCAGACACCGCATCAGTGGATAGATAGATCATAAATATTGTTGATTCAAGATTTTAGAGGCTTGCATACCAGGCCTGGTGGTCAGTCCGCAGACCCAAAGGATCCAGCGGCTTTTGAATCGTTTGTCAACTGGCCTTTTCACATGATCGCATTTTGAACCGTGAAGCGTCTCCGGCCTCATATGGGAGCAGAATATATTGGAGAGATCAGCAGATTTGAATCTACTGTAACTTTTGTGCCATGTCCACACGAAGTCATTTTTTCCGCAACATTATTCTGAACATAACCTCTGCGTTTCCTGTTCCAAATTTTAGTAACACTTCTAGCTTCAACTTGCATCCATCATGTCACACTTCACAAGTTTACACTACGAACACCCTTCATGTTCCAGCCTGAGAGCCCAGCATCTGACATGCCCCGACTATGTTGCCGTCATTTGATGTGTTTCCTTTTTTTGCAAAACCTGTTCACTTCCGTTCTTCGCTTTCTTCCTCGTTTCTCTTCTTTTTTCACTCGAAAAGGCGGTGGTGGTGGCCGCGTTGCGCAGTCTCCGCACCACCACGGCATTGGGCGCGGAGCTCATGGAGAAGGTGCAGCAGCTCTCTGAGCTCGCCAACACAGGCGCAACGCAACATGCTCCCAACATGCTGCAATGCCGAACAGAACAGAACGACACGTGGAGCTGTGCACTGGGCTGTGCACATTTGTGCACCACCTGTCGTGACCATGTTCTGAGACACAGACCATACTGACAAAGATGTCAAAGGAACATGTCGCGAAGAATGTCAAAACATAACACAGATGCATGAAATTTATTTTTGAATTTCTTTCTAACTTAAGTATATAAATCAAATACACACACACACACGCATATATATATATATATATTATATACATACATATATAAATAAATATAATTAACTATCTAACTAACTAACTAACAAACAAACTAACTAACTAAATAAATATAAATATAAATAAATAAATAAATATATATATATATATCAATGGGGAGAGGGAGATAGATATAGATAGATATAGATACATATATATATATAGATAGATAGATAGATCGATAGATTAGATAGATAGATAGATAGATAGATAGATTAGATTAGATTAGATTAGATTAGATTAGATTAGATAGATAGATAGATAGATACTCCCCCTCCTTTTACCGTAGCGCAAAAAAAAAATAAAAAAAAATTCCACGTTAACGAAATGGACGATTCGGAGGTTTACTTCCATGTTAGTTGCATTGGGGGGGGGTAAACTGCAAATTTGTGTTCTTTGGATCTGAGCACTTTTTTTTTTTTGCTGGTTCTTTTTGCCACGAGTTCCCCGGGAATCCTGGGCATTTTTTGATTAACGTAGAAATTTTGAATTTTTCAAGATAAAGTTGCGAATGCCTTCATTTTTTACCAACCAACGATTGGAACAGATAACTTACATAGAAATTTGCTACTTGAAGTAGGATGTGGGCAGTGCCATGTTAGCGAGCGCTCGGTCCTTTACTCCCCCTCCTTTTACCGTAGTGTTTTTTTTTTAAATTCCACGTTAACTAAAGTGACAATTCGGAGGTTTACTTCCATGTTAGTTGCATTGGGGGGGGTTAAACTGCAAATTTGTGTTCTTTGGATCTGAGCCTTTTTTTTTGGCTAGTTCTTTTTGCCACGAGTTCCCCGGGAATCCTGGGCATTTGTTGATTAACGTAGAAATTTTGAATCACCAAACATGGAACGGAGTGCCATGTTAAAAAAAACATGCTATTCATGGTAAAACCTTTGGTTTGGTACTAGGGTTCCCCATACTTCTCAGGAGGATTTCATTTTCCAAAAAGAATGAAAAAACATGAATCCCAAACCAGGTTTTTTATATGATTTTTTTCTTTATTAAACTCTTTATATAAAATGCTCGATTTGTGAACTTTTGGTGTTGAATTCAGGCTTGGACCCTTTGATGGTTGCTTTTAAGATATGGGCGACCAGCAGTTCAAGAGATGAATCACCAAACATGGAACGGAGTGCCATGTTAAAAAATCATGCTATTCATGGTAAAACCTTTGGTTTGGTACTAGGGTTCCCCATACTTCTCAGGAGGATTTCATTTCCCAAAAAGAAGGAAAAGACATGAATCCCAAACCAGGTTTTTCATATGTTTTTTTTCTTTATTAAACTCTTTATGTAAAAAGCCCGATTTGTGAACTTTTGGTGCTGAATCCAGACTTGGACCCTTTGGTGATTGTTTTTAAGATACGGGTGACCAGCATGACGGGGGTGAGAAGATAGATGCAAAGAAGAAAACAAATGATGTGGCGGTCAGTCTGGGGGTTTTAGGGATCGCCCTAGAAGGATGTATTCAACATGAGGGGAGAACATGTTAACATAGAAGTGGTCAACCTGATGTTTGGACCTTCAAGTTACTTCCACGTAAGCGTTTTTAGTCTCAGTTTTCCAACTTCCATGTTGAACATGCTCCTTCAAGCTACTTCCACGTAAGTGATTTACGGTCAGTTTTTTACGTTTTCTGGTCCGGTAGCCCAGTTTCACGTTTTCCCCGGGAATTGGACCGATACGACTTCCATGTAAACCGACAGGCTTTTGCGTTTTGACTTCCACGGTAAAATGACAGGGTGTAGATAGATAAATAGATAGATAGATATAAATAGATGTATAGATATAGATAGATACAGATAGACATAGATAGACATAGATAGACATAGATAGATATAGATAGATATAGATAGATATAGATAGATATAGATAGATATAGATAGATATAGATAGATATAGATAGATATAGATAGATAGATATAGATAGATATAGATAGATATAGATAGATATAGATAGATATAGAAAGATATAGATAGATATAGATAGATATAGATAGATATAGATAGATATAGATAGATATAGATAGATATAGATAGATATAGATAGATATAGATAGAGATAGATAGATATAGATAGATATAGATAGATATAGATAGATATAGATAGATATAGATAGATATAGATAGATATAGATAGATATAGATAGATATAGATAGATATAGATAGATATAGATAGATATAGATAGATATAGATAGATATAGATAGATATAGATAGATATAGATATAAGATATAGATCGATATAGATAGATATAGATAGATATAGATAGATATAGATAGATATAGATAGATATAGATAGATATAGATAGATATAGATAGATATAGATAGATATAGATAGACATAGATGGATGGATGGATGGATGGATGGATGGATGGATATCTATATATACATACATGCGTGGCACAGTTGACCGGAGGACTCAAAGTAAACATACTTGAAGTCAACTATACAGTTGCATTGCAACACAGTTTTTGAATCCCGCTGACAACATATTTGTGCCAATTGTTCCACATGTTCGCAGGTGGGTACGGTGAAGTTGTCCTTGTGGCGTGACTTGGCATTTGATATGGCTTGAACTTGCGTTGCCTCCGAATGTGCAAAGATGAAGCCTTCAGTCGTATCAGTCGGAACCTAGGCCAGACAACCATGTTGCTTTAGTGTTTAGTGAAAGAAGAAACCTGGAAGGGCTTTGCATGCTATCGGAAAGGTGTGCCCTTTGCTACGTTTGCTTCTCGTAACCTCTGTCCTACCGGTTGTTATGTTCAGGACCCCGTTTGTTTTGATATTTTTTGGCCATAACCATAATCCTTGTTTTTGTTTTGTTTTTGTCTCCTGCCTTGGTTCTGTTCTCATCCTCATTCTTGTCCTCTTCTTCGAGTTTTTTTTCTCCTGTTGGGTGTTTGTTTGCTCCGAAGTCACCTCCGTGACAATCTTGCTCCTGGACACGCATGCTGCTTCAGAATTTACGGCTATGGCTATACCCACAAGCCCTTGGCAAGAACGATACATTGAAAGATCCATTATCCAAGCTCACACATCTCTGCTTGGTCGCAATCAAACCGACCAAACTGAGGCGTCAAATTATGGACATGAAAAGCTCCAAGCCTTTCGGCGAGAGAGTGGATGCGCTGCGAGAGTTGCTTGATTTGAGCCACCCCGACTTCGACGGAATATCCGGCATGGCAGCCAGCAAGGTGCGAATCAGATTCAAACGCGTTTAATGCTTTCGTCCAGGACCCTGGCTCACATGAATAGAAGATTATGGATTTTTTGTTGCACAGGGTTGATGGAGTGGTCGAACGCAATTTTTGGGCTGTTCAGGCAGGCACGGAGCTACTTTCTGATCTACTGCTGCACGAGTCGTCAACAGCCACTTTGTTCAAACAGCTTGCCGCACCAATGCGAAAGAAGGACCTCGAAATTATAAATTTGTGTCTAAGTTCCCTCTCGTTGCAACCGATGTTTGCGGCTGCCTCCGACAGAAAATCACAGACCGCAAGAAGGAACACTAGGTGCAGTTTCCGCAATCGGCGGGCCTGCGAGAGCCAAGATGAGCCAAGTTCACAAGTTGAGATTTTGGCAGCCTGCATTGTTCGAAACTCCGACAGGGTTTTGAACATTGTAGCGTTCCAATTTGTCTCAGGTCCGATCCAATGCCTTGAATGCATTGATGCGGCGCCTTTACCGCTCCTTCCTAATCCAGGATGCCTGAAACCTTACGCCGCTAGGGATTGCGGGGTCAAGGATATGAAAGGAAGCGGACATATGTGGGGTTGTGCTATAGACCGTTCTTTTAGAGGCATTGAGATGGGTGTGCTCAAGGCATCTCAAGGCAAGGTGAGGCAAGGTGCCAAAGTTCAAAAAAAAAAACATCTTTTGTTTCGAAACCCTTCGGTTTCTCGACTGATTTGACTACAGTAAACCTTCGTTTGGAAGTTGGAAGATGCGTTTGGCAGAAATTGGGAAATTAAGAAAGGTCATAGAAAGGTCATGGCACGGTCATGGGTTCAAAGACCCTTATTGGGCCGTCCTGGGCGGTGACAGCAGGATATGGCCATTGAAGATGAGGAAGCTGGAAAGATGTCGTGCAACTTCAAGTTCCAGTTCCCCGGTACGGCTGAGGAAGCGGTTTTCCGTCAAGCACATGTGAAGGTGGTCAAGAGCTTCGACGAAGTTGCGGAGATTATGAAGAGCGACATCCCTTTGCAAGATGAAAGCAACAAGGTGGCAAATACAATGAAGGTGCGCCATGAAGGTAGTTGGACTCGGTTGGACATATTAATATTCGGCCTTACTTTGGAGCATTTAGAAGATGGGCATCTGAAACTGACAAGTGGTTGAGCTGAGAGTGATTTGTCTCTGCAAATAATTTGCGAAGACTACGGATTGTACTAAATGTAACAGCAGCATGTAGGCGCAGTATGTTGACGGCCTTCTTTCCCGCAGGTCATCGTTACCTCACCCGGAAGCACCCCGTTTGAAGAGATGAGCAAGCAAATGGAAGGATTGCTTGCGGGAGCAAATGACAAGCTGCAAGCGGCAGGTATCCGAGAGGCTGGTTCTTAGAACACAGCCGTGTGAGGTTGCTTGAGACATCTTGAGACATTAGAGATACATAGAGATACTAGAGGCCGATTTGAGCAAGTGGAAGGAAGGCTGGAATCCAAATCACAAGAGCGACCTTAGATTTCGGATGCATACATCAGTATCTATCGCTCTCGTATATGCACGCGCACACAAAGAATGAACAGGTGTATTAGTATATATGCATACATGTGTATATTAATGTAGATTTATATGGGTAAGCACGATGTAGACATTGCAGCACAAACTCGCCTGCAATGAGCCAGGTGGGCCTGGTCGTGTCCAACCCACCGAACGCTCCTCGCTATGCATCCTTCATGGCTGACAGTGGCTGGAAGGAAAATGCTGCGTGTCGCAACTCCGCTGCACACAGCGTGCTGGGTGTCTGGGTGTAGTGACCTGGATGACAAGGTTTGAATGCCTGCAGGGCCTGCTGGTTGTAAGGTAATGGAAAGTACAGGAGCGCAGGGAGGATTTCCCCTTCAGACAGGGCGCGCTGCATTTCTTCTTTTCTGAACTTGTGAGGCGACATGAAGCCATCCTTGCCGAATGTCCTGGAGGTCTACCGGCTTGCTGAAGAGTACTCTTTGGAGAAAGTGGTGCCACCGGTGGGCCGCAATTCGCAGGTGGGCTTTCCTTTCTTTCTTAAGCATTGCAAATTCCTTGACAGCCTTGACATATCTTGACATGTTTTATTTTTCTGTTTCGACATCAAGAGCATTTCTCAATCTCGCGCAGGTCTACGTGGGAACGCCCATAGACCTGGTCCCATCAGGACGCAGGAGTCCCTCCACCATATTCGCTCGCAGCTCTGCACATATTTATCACTTGACATCACTTGACTTAATCTGGCAGCGGAAGAGGAAAGCTTCCATTCCCACCGCGCGCCAGCATGTCTTGGTCATTTAGCACTGGTCATGGGTTTAACGTGCATGTTTTGAGCTTTCCTAGCATCCTAAAAATATTTAAAGAGTATCGTTTCTGATCTCGAACTCAGGCATGATCAAGCATTCGATGAATGGTTTTCCTGAAACCGCTCAGCTTTGGCAAGATTCGCTGGAAAACCTTCTCCTGAACGCAGTGGACGAGATCGAGAGAGCCCGGTTGAACCCAAAGATTGGCTATGGGCCCAACAGCACCTCACATGTGAAACATGAATTCAGCATAATTCAAGCGTAATTCCAGCATAACAAACTTGTATGGTGCATGCAAATTGGGCACCCTACCTGTTTTTTTCCCCCTACAGCGTTAGCTTCGGGTCTCAACCAGATAAAGGTTTGGTGCAGCTTCTGGTGCTGGTTTCGGGGAGGTCCGGAGGTTCCGTGGGTTCCGTGGGTTCCGTGGGTTCCGTGGGTTCCGTGGGTTCCGTGGGTTCCGGTTCAAGTTTGGGGGTAGGTTCCGGTGTGGTTCGGGAGGTTATGGTGTGGGTTCCGGCGATTCACTGGCTGCTCTCACGCTTTTCCTACCACCTTTGCTATTGGGGATGCCACCTAGGTTTATTTTCCTCTCCTGCTCACCTTTACAACCTGCATATCGTGTGTTTGTGTGGATACGCATCGCGTGAATATCCTGGAAAAAAGGCAACATCTTCGCGCACATCCTCTACAACCTGAATATGGAGCCAACTTCTGCCTATGAGATGCTGGAAGAGTTCGTGAACAACTTCGTGGCAAAGCACGGCAGCCGCCTTCAAAGGAGCAAGGTGGGATATGATTGCCGGACAACCTGCAATTTTCAAAATTTGTGGCATGGATCGAGACTGTGTCAGCATTTGCCATGATGTGTTTGGATCAGGTCGATGAGATTGTGGTAAAGGTCGGGATTGGCAGTGGCGACTCTCGAAAACAAACTTTGCGACTTACTGCGAGCTCCATGACAGGTGGGTCTAACTGCATCATGAACCATGACACGGCTTTGTTTTGCTGCGGGGTGCTGGCTGAGTGGCGCTTTTGTATGAGTGTAATGCAGTAATGCTCACAACATAGAAGCTTGAGCAGTGCAAGCAATGTTTCTGAATTGTGACTCTGGCTTCGTTCGCTTCAAGACATTGACATCACCCACAGACCAGAGACTTATCAACAAGCCATCCTACCGTGGAAGGTGAGTACTTGCGCACGAGTGGTGCAATGGAGATGTACGACGTCATAACAGGGTCCCCAACGCAATGGTTTGATCTGAAGAGCCTTGGCAGGGTGTACAGGATGTGATGATATATGATGCATGGATTTTGGAAACACAAATTGCGACAATGTCTCTATCACTATCATTGGCACTTCCCAAAAAAACTGGACAACAGCCACTTCCAAAACCTTGGCCAACCAATGAACCTATGCCCAGAGTTTATGCGTCGCAGGGCGTTTTTTCGCGAAAAAAATGCGCTTTTTCTGATGACGAATCACGAATCTCTCCACCGGATGCACGAGTCAGCGACGTTGCAGTGAAGCCATGAAGCCTTTAAACTTTTAACTTTCAACCAAGGAGCGGGGACGAGGCGAAATTGGCTTCGGCCAAAGCGAAGAACCGATTGCAGCTTCGCCGCTCAGTGGCTCGAAATGCTGGCTCTACCTATGCCCCAGACTTCCTGGGAACCTTGACTAAATATGACAAGATGACAGAATGACGGAATGATACAAAATGGCCAGACCCTAAAGACAAGTATCTTAGACTCAGACTTTGCATGAGCTTCAGAGTGGCATACTTTCGTAGGCATGTTGAAGATCGAGCTGATCAAGAAGTGGGGCAACTATCAGGATTGCGGTGGAATGCGCAACATGCCCTCCAAGATTTTCAGCAGTACTGAGTTGGTCTTGGTTGATGGAGAGATCAAGGAGATTGATCGGGATCCGGGACAGCACAACATCGGCATGATCGCTTGGCGTTGCACGTTATGTACTCCCGAATATCCTGAAGGTCGCGATATTGTTCTCATTGCCAACGACGTGACCCACAAAGCTGGCTCTTTCGGTGTTGATGAGGACATCCTTTTCCAGAAGGCATCTGCCTATGCTCGTGAGAAAGGGTTGCCACGAATCCACATTGCATGCAACAGTGGTGCGCGCGTGGGTTTGGCTGAGGAGTTGAAGCCCTTTTTTAAGGTGAAATGGACAAACGATGATCCATCCAAGGGCTTTGATTATCTCTACTTGGAAGAGCAGGATTTGAAGAGCTTGCCAGATGACGCTGTTGACGTGCACGTCCAGCGAGTCAACGGCAAAAAGCACTTTGTGATTGATGCCATTATCGGGGAGGGATTGAAATCTACTCAGGGTGGCATTGGAGTCGAGAACTTGCAAGGAAGTGGACTCATTGCAGGTGAGACCTCCAAGGCCTACAACGAAGTTTTCACTTTGTCTTATGTCACGGGACGCTCCGTTGGCATTGGAGCATACTTGAATCGCCTCGGCCAACGTGTCATTCAAATGGTGAACGGACCCATGATCCTCACAGGCCTGACTGTCCAAGTCGTTTCAAACTATCGCCTTGTCAAGTCTTGCGGATTGAGTGTGTCTTATTCCAAAACGTTTGTTCTAGACTGCATCAAAAAAGAGACTTTGTGGCCAATTATTGGAGCAAGTGAACACTTCGTGACATGGTTCAGTGACAGTACTTGATCATTTCGAAATATGAGCCATATTTGCAGGCTTTTCCGCGCTCAACAAACTTCTGGGGAAGAATGTGTACAGCTCTCAAGACCAACTTGGAGGGCCACAGGTAATGGTGCCCAATGGTATCACACATGAAGTGGTCACAGACGACACAGAAGGCGTTGGGGCCATCCTGGACTGGTTGCACCTTGGCTTCACTTGAGACGGTGCAGCATCAAATGGATCCCAGAGCCTCGCGCCATGGAGACTTGTTCCTCCATGTCCCGTTTGTGCAGTTACAGATGTTACAGGTCGTATTTGTTTTGAGGAGAAGTTTTCTGGTGAGTGCTATGGCGTTGATCATTGATTTCCTGATTTTTGCCCTCTTCACTGCTGTTGTCCTTCTGTTTGACAAGTTACTAGTTTCATTTACAAAGCTAAGGTCCTATGTACCAAAAACAACGGCCGAAATACCGCCCATCCTTGAGCCCATGGACCCAGTGTCTCGAGAAGTCACCTTCATGCCTTCTAAGACGCCTTATGATCCTCGGCACATGCTGGAAGGCAAGGCTTGCAAACTGCAGCCGGGATATTTCAAAGGCTTTTAATTTTCCAACAACTTCCGATAAGTGCAAGAAATCCAATAAGATGTTTTGGATGTCTTTGGGGCGCGGCATGGCAGGTACCACAACGCCTGAGGGTGGCAAGCTGACCGGTTTCTTTGATGAAGGTACTTTCAAAGAGTCACTCAGATCGAATAGCATCCTAGCACCAGGTTGAAATCTTGAGTCATCGCACCATTCGGCATTCACAATTCCGAAAGCACATGTCCTGGGGTCGTTTGATGTAAATTGTCTGATCATCCGAGCCCAGTTTGATGTGAAGTTGCATGATGTTGCAAGAGCATCAAGAGCCAAGCATTTAGACACACCAAATAGCAGCCTACAGATTAATCGGGTTGCTCTGAGACTGGCTCTTCAATCTCCACCACTCAGGTACTTGCCAGGTTGGGGCAAGAGTGTCGTGATTGGACGTGGCAAGCTGGGCGGCGTCCCAATGGGTGTCATTGCAGTGGAAACACGAAGCTTTGAGGTGAAGCAGTCTGAAGTACCAGTAACATCCAGCAAGACAGAAATGTGTAGGTATAGTTCTTGCCCTTTGATTGCGTGATAGCGTGATAGTCAAGTCATCTCAACCTCAGCGGACAAACTTCCTGACCTGTCCGCGGTGGATCAGTTCCCAAGGGTGCAGCTGGTGTAGATATATTGCATATTGGTATATATATAATGTTTATATGTATGTATGTATGTAATGTAATGTAATGTAAATGTAAATGTAAATGTAAATGTAATGTAATGTAATGTAATGTATGTAATGTTAATGTTAATGTTAATGTTAATGTTAATGTTAATGTTAATGTTAATGTAAAGTAATGTAATGTATGTATGTATGCACATGGCATTGCGTCGATTTCCTTACATGCATGCATGCATGCATCCATCCATCCACCCATCCATCCATCCTTTCATCCATCCATACAGACAGACAGACATACAGACAGACACAGACGGACAGACAGACACACAGACACACACACACAGACACATACACACAGATATATCTATGTATGTATATTTATATATATATATACACGAATTATGTATATTTCAATTCTTTTTGCATTGGAGTTGTTCCAGTTTGCGATGGCGAGGCTCTCATGCACTTCGCAGCATTTACACCAAGGAAGCATGGACCGCAAAGTTCCCGCGGACCCAGCGAACCCGGCAAGTCAGGAGGTTGTCGAGCCTCAAGCTGGACAGGTGCCAAGACCTTCACATCGAGTTTCAACATTTGGCAAATCTGTCAAGTTTGAATTTGTAACTTTCACCGTTTTTCTGTGTTTCATTCACATGGCAGCTGTAGGTGTGGTTTCCTGACAGCGCATTCAAGACGGCGACAGCGATCCGCGATTTCAATCGTGGTGAGAACCTGCCACTGATCATTTTTGCCAACTGGCGTGGGTTTTCAGGCTGGCCATTGCATCCGAATGTGCAAGAGTAAGCCGTGCTGGCTGGTTCCCTTGAGCCTGTGCAGAAGCAGTTTGATATGTCTGCTATCCTGGAACGTTGCCAGGCGGAACCCGAGACATGTACCAGGAAGTTCTGAAATTTGGAGCCCAGATCGTGGATGCCCTCGTTGAATACAAAAGCCCTGTTTTCGTCTACATCCCTCCGGGTGGTGAGTTACGAGGTGGCTCCTGGGTTGTCATTGATCCAACTATCAACCCTGAACAGATGGAGACTTGGCTCGTTTTTTGAATGTCTGGAGGCTGTCATATTTTTTGCTTTAGAAGTTTAGAAGGGATATGTGAAGACCATTTCTTTGCCCTGGACGATGCGTGTCGTTTTCATCCAAGGAGATGTATGCGGATGTGGAATCACGAGGTGGAATCTTGGAGCCACCAGGGATTGTGGAGGCAGGTTGCATTCAATTCATAGCCGGGCTATCAATTTGCATTGTTCTTACAGCAAGTGAGCTTTCATCTGATCCTCACAGTTTTTAATTCTTCTTGATCATCGTAATACTTGTGAAATCTTGTGAATATGTTCACATCCTTGTGCATCCTTGTGCCATCTCGTACCATTGTACCGTGTACCTATGTGTGCCTTGAATCTTGCAATAATATGAAATGATGTTAGATCATTAATGTTACAAATAATGCCAAGAATTATCTGAATATCTTTGAATACTTTCCACAAATGGCCCGGCCTCATCCGGAAGGTGAAGTTCCGAGCTGGTCAGCAGCGAGAGCTGATGCACCGCTTGGATCCCGAGCTGCGGAAACTGGATGCAATGCTTGAGGCCTTGGAGCTGGGGCGGTGGGATGATGTGGGATGCTTCAAAACCGAAACATCAGACACACTGTGAAAATCTGTGAAACACGTTGGACAATACTCTGACTTTGTTACTATTTGATCTGTTTGTTATTTGTGCCGCCGAAGCCACCAAACGCTACTGATATCTCAGCTGCAGAGGAATCTTCATCCTCGGAAGTGGGTAGTGCTGCTCAAGACATTGAAGCGCAGATCAAGACTCGAGAGGACCAAGTGGAACGTTCTCCAAGCAGCTCTTGCTTGTTCTTGGCATTTCTTGGCATCTTTTGGATGTCTTGGCGTTTCTTGTCAAGCTTTTCTGCATATCTCACCCGCTCTTGCTCCAGGATAAGCTGTCACCCCTGTACACGCAGATTGCTTGCGAATTTGCGGATTTGCACGATCGCACTGGACGCATGGAAGCCACTGGTGTCATTCGACAGGTGTGGAAACGCCATGATCATGCCATAGCCATGTGAATGGATGAGGTGCCAAAACACGATGGTGTATCAAGACCGTATTGCAAAACAACACATGATCTTCTCACTGCTTCGGCTTCTTATTTTTCAGTTGCCCTCCATTCCTTCCTCATGCAAGTTGAAAGGCCAACCACCAAAACTGTCAGATGCATGACATTCTCTAAGTTGAGGTCCCTGATTCTTCCATGCGCTAAGAAGAGAGCCAGCAAAACTATCACAACAAAAAGATGTGGCCGTCCTTCATAAAAGCACAGTGCACACGATTCCCGCGAGGGGCTCGAGTGGCGTCGCTCCAGAGAATTCTTCTATTGGCGAGTGAAGTGCAGATTGCTCCAGAAGGAGAGCATCTGCAACTTGGGATGTGGCGGAACGTCATATCAATATCCTGTTGGGGCGCACTTGTCCAAGCAATAGTTGCAATATCCATGTGGGCTTTCGCCTATGATTTTATACTGTAACTCTCTTAGGCACCTACATTCTAGGGCAATCACAATCTTCAATGTTTGCCTGTGTACCTTGCTTTCTGCACTAAGCAGCTGAGATTTTCTTCCACCTTCCTGGCATTCCCACATTTTTATGGAGCAAGCACAATGGCCCGCCAGGAAGTGGAGAGCCAAATCAAGGAAGTTGATCCCAGCCTGTCTGCCAAGGACACATATGCGCTTAATGTGGCCCTTTTAGACAGCAACGTGATGAGATATGTTGCCAACTTTGGGATGTTCTTGGGCACAGTGCGCCCCCAAAAAAAAGACCAACTATTAAAAGAGTTAACCATAGGCCACACTTGCCAAGGCCAAGGCAGATCCTTGCCAAACAAAGCGTGCTTGCGCCTTTCGCAACAATCCCGCCGTTTGAGCACAATCTGCGATTTACAACCTGTTCATTGCAGGAATCGCAGGAGCTCTTGTCGAGCTGGCTGTCTGAGGCGGACCAGGGAAGTGGGGACATGCATGGAAAAACCTAGTCTGGTCATGTCTGGTCACCGTGGCATCAGTGACATTGTAGTGCACACTGCAACTGGAGGCCGGCAAGGACGATGACAAGAGCATCGTGACTTTCTTGGAGGGGAGACCCTTCGTCACCTGGCACGAGATCCTAAATATCCTAAGCCTCCAAACGCTTTTGCGCATTGTTTTGGAACCGAGGCTTACAAGCTGGAGCAGCTGAAGGTGGACGTGACAAAAACGCAGATCAAGGCCAAATTCAGCTCGTGTCGTTCTGCGTCTTTTTCCCGAGGAAATGCATGGTTTTTCTTTACTATTGTGTTCCTGCTCATTTATGCGTTCCTGCTCATTTCCCCCAGAGAACGACCAAGAAGCATCAAGAAGCTAGAACTCTTGCGCGGCGGATTGAAAGAGAACGACAGCCGTGGCAAGTCTAACGCAGGAGCTTTTGGAGAAGCTACCGGAGAGCGAACGGGAAGGGCTGTTGACTCCTGACCGCAATGGCAAGCACTGGCAGGCATCAACTTGATGTTATCAACTTGTTCTGTGCTCCAAGTTGACTTGGCAACTCCACATTTTTGGAGACTATCTGACAGATTAAAAGACAGGACAGTTGTGGGCAAAGTTGGTCTAATCATGCTGTGGGATGTAGTCTGATCTGCAGCCAAGGTGAACGGCTAATCGGCTAGTCAGGGCTAGTCGTCATCTTTTCCAAGTGCTTTGGCAAAGCATCTGGGTAGCAGTGTGAAGCTTCCGAAGGTTCTGTGTTTCACTCCTTTGCAATTTTTATCAGACTGAGCAGAGTTGGATCGAGCAACCCTGCAAAATCTGCAGCCGCACGACAAATCTCCTTGTCAACGTGCCTACACTTGGCACCTGATGGTTGTGAAGGGCATGTCTGAAATGTAGAATCGGAATACAAAGAAGATGAATTCATCACACTTCACCTGCGACAGCTAAGGTGCAGCATCAGTTGTTTCCAATAAAGATTGAATCTGATTGACTGCCAATTCGGGTGGAGCTTGCTGCTCTCCTGGAAACGCTTTTGAGCCAGGCTCATTTAATGTGCTCATAGCTTGGCATATCGGCAATGTGTGCGAGGGGAATCCTTTGAAGGGGGTGAGTCTGTGAGATCCCCAGGATTTTTTGATGCAAGTCTACAACACCACGATGCCCAAATCCTGTGAAATTTGAGCGGTTTCTGAAGCCAATCCATTTCGGCTTTCTAGGGCCTTCCCTTCTGCATCAATAGATTAAGTTGCGTGGAGCGGCGCCGTGGTCGCGCCTCCATTTTTTCCAACGCATTCCTTTTTCCAAGTTTCCTAATGCCTTAAGGTGGCTTTCATCACCGAAGGCGGACAGATGAAGTAGTGACAGACAGGTCTCAAGAATTGAAGAGATGCTCTGGTGCAAAGAAAGTTTTTTTGCGCGTATATCCTTTGATGATAGCACAGAGCAGCAATAGTCCCCCAAGCGCCGGCCGCTATAGCATCTTTACTCGGAAAGGGACCTTGTCTTCAACTGCATGCTGGGCTTAAGCGTTTGATCCTTCTGGCACTCATAGACAGGTGAGACATATTTGAGTTTAAAATGTTGGTCGGAAGTCGGAAGTAGGCTTGAAGTACCTAGGCATTCTGCTACATTTTCAATGGGCTTGCCCTGCCGCAGCTTGTGCATAGCTGTAGATGAAAGATTTCCGCGGATGAAGCCATGTTTGTCAGTACCCTTTTCCGTTCTTGACCTGAAGAGGGTCAACCAAAGTGACATCCATGTCATGGAGATGAGATAATTCACACCACCCCACCACCTAGCAGAACTGCAGTGAAACTATTTGCATTTCAAGCGTATATGAAAAATTGAGCCAAGACACCTCGTAGCAGCCATTTCCACCCACATCCAGCAGTGCCATGAATCAAACATCCGTGCCATGAGGCCACAAATTCCCTATATAACTTATCCAAACTTCATTTTTGTGATGGCTCTGGGTATGGAGCCAGATGGGAAGCAAGAGGCAGTCAAGGCCATTGACAACTGTCTCCGTCAAAGGCCGATTGGGCTGCTGGGAGGCTGCACTAAATCATACTGAATCTATGATATATTTCAAACATTTCCATGTTGTCGCCGTTTGTTGTGCGATGCGAGTACCAATGTGCACCTGTTCAGGCTACTTCGGAGTACCAAAGTCATGTTTTTCTTCCACAGACATGCCCATCACAAGGACAAGCTGGGCCGAAGGCCGGTCCGAGGAAGAAATTGACAACAGTAGTTTCCAACAGTAGTTTCCAGATCCAGGTGGCTTAGGTGCTAGAAAGAAGGGCGAGAAGCACTGGAAACAGGAATGGCAAGGTAAGAGAGGGGGAGTTTTGATTTTCTTCTCAAATTTCTGTGAGCCTTCGAAAGTTCAGTGGTTGCTTATAAGATTATGATTTGCCTATGTGCCAGCGCACCTTCTGACAAACTCTCATCATTTGTGGTCTTTGGATCCAGTCACCTTGAGGTCGCTTGACTTGAAGGGGGCGATCAGCATGGCAGCTGATCTCGTGCCTCAAACCTGCAAGCTTGATGGATCTTGATGGGCCCTGGTAGGCTGCTGTTGGAGTGCAATTTTTGGCGACAAGCAATCCCAACGCCATAGCGGATTGGAACGCACGCGCGCGATTCCAATGCGACAGAGCACAAAACTCGCGATTTGCATGTCAAAAAATCAAGAAAGCACACGACAGCGAGCCTCCTGGCACTGCAACAGCTGCAGATGAACCCTAAAAGGATTGCTACAGCAGTACAAGCACCGCCCTCACAATCCTCCAAGGGTCGTCCTCATGCTGTCAAAACACATGGCATGTACTGGGTCCGTAGCATCCATATGCTCTGCATTTGATTTGAAGAAGTCGAAGTCAGAGTCCAACATGGCGTTTTTTTGGTCACGCGGCATTGCATGGAGGAATTGAAGCCATGCGTCAAAAACATTTGTTTGGCGTCCGTGATGTGGGAAATGGTGCCTGAGGCCAGGCATTTTGGATTGCCTGATGTTATTTTCAGCTCCTCGGCATTCCTTGACATTCCTTGGCATTTGTTGGTATTCCTCAGCGCTTCGTGGCATTCCACTTCAAGCTTTGCAGGCCACTGCGTTCTGATCCTGAGAGAGAATTTAGAGATCTTCACCGTCGCTGAGGAAACTTGCCGGAGACTTTCAGCAGCTTCGATTTCACTGGGAGTGGTATGCTTTGCCTTGAAGAGACGCGCCTCGATCTGAAGACTCGCCTCGAGGATTTTTTTGAGCTTCAGATGCCAGAGGGCTCGCAGGCACCAATATTTTGTTGTTTAGGGGCCAGCCACAAAATATAAATAGAGGTCAATTTCAGCTGCAGAGCGGGGTTCTAATGGGTTACCAGTACTACCGCACAAGGCGGTAGTTTCAAAAATAGGACACCTATAGGAGAGGTTGGTTGTTGTGAATCACGGATGGCAGAGCGAATCCACTGATGGACCGACAGGTGGTTGGAGTTGTGTTTTTTGGAATGGTTGCAATGGTTGCAGTGGTCACCTTACCACAACTGCTGGATGTAGTGTGGTGTAGTGCATTTGTAGTTGTAGTTGCAGTTGTAGCTTTAGTGTAGTGTAGTGTAGTGGAGCTGTAGCTGTAATGTAGTGTAACCAGTGTATTTGCAAGCGCAGTTGCAGTTGTAGTCGTGGTGTGGTATAATTAGTGTAACGTAGCGCGCTGCAATCAATGTCGTGTAGTGTTGTGTATTGTAGTAGGGTAAAGCGTAGTGTAGTCTAGTGTAAGGTAGTGTGTTTGTAGTTGTAGTGTTGTGCAGTGTAATTAGCGTAGTGTAGTGTAATGTAGTGTCCTGTAGTGTAGTTGCAGTTGCAACTGCAGTTGTAGTTGTAATGTAATGCAATGTAATCAGTGTAGCGTAGTGTTGTGTAATGTCGTGTGGGCGTAGTTGTAATTGCATTTGTAGTTGTAGTGTGCTGCAGGGTGTAATTAGCGTAGTGTAGTGTAGTTGCACTTGTATATAGATGTACTTGTGGTGGTAGTAGTAGTAGTAGTAGCAGTAGGAGTAGGAGTAGTAGTAGTAGTAGTAATAGTAGTAGTAGTAGTTGTTAGTGTAATTGGTGTAGTGTAGCTTACTTAGATGTACTTAGTGTAGTGTAGTGTGGTGTGGTGTGGTGTGGTGTAGTGTAGTGTCATGTAGTGTAATTAGTGTAGTGTAATGTAGGGTAGTATATTTGCATTTGTAGTTGTGGCAGCAGTGTAGTGTAGTGTAGTGGTAGTTGTAATTGTCTATCTATC